TGTCAGTAGTTTTGGGTCGGTCTCTACCAACTTTGCCCAGTGGAAGGGCGTAATTTTCCATTCTCCCTGGGAAAATGTGCTCTAGAGTCGTTGGGGACAGTTAATGGGCAGCAGTTGCCAAACCTCAATCTAAATGTTCTGCTGGATTTCAAGACAGGATTTTGACTGGGCCTCTCAAGGACATTTATTCCCTTCTTCTCGGCCCGCTGTGGTATAGCTTTGGCATTGTGCTTCAGGCCATTCTCTTGTTCAAGTGTGAGTTTTCCACCCAGTTTTAAATTCTTGGATGCCTCAAAAGCAGGTTTTCTTCCAGGATTTGTATGTACTGCGCACCATCCATTTTTCAGGCAATTGGCTTGAAATTCAATATTTATCTGAGGGAACCCACTGAGCCCATAAGCATTTACTCTGACGTCAAGCTAAACTACTTTAATTACACACATAGAAACCATTGCATTAATTTTGCGACCTTTCAGACTATGCTTCTGCACCTGAACATAATTAAGGACACCGTACCAAAGGGGCTGAATACTTGTACATTTGAGAATATTCTAAATTCCTTTCAAAAATCGAATTTACTTTCATATAACCAGCAGTTTTGAGCTTTATCCGCTTGGAGTACGGAGACTTTATGATTGTGAATCTCACATCGAACATATATTGAAGTGTTTTGATGACAAGCTCAGTTAATAACAAAATGTAAAAACCTGGCTAGATTTGCACACTTTTGAAAGGCGCTGTAATAACAGCAGTTGAGCAAATTGGATATCGTGAATGTATCTGTAATGAAACGTTCCAGACATGTCACGCTCTCCGATGCACTTGAGGCTCCACAGGGAGGTCCTTTTCTTGTGGGAAACCTTGTTTGTTTTAACAGCAATAATCAGACAAGAAACAGAGGTGAGTGCCAAACACAGCTTTCCTTTATTTGTGTAAACAACACATACACACCGCAAACTCCCTCAAATGTTCTTCAGGGTTTTCTCACAGCCCTTTCAACTAACTACGGAAAAATCGCCAAGAACACCGTGAACATAACACCTACTGTAGCGAGATTTCACCTTGGCTTCACTCTGACCTCAACAGCTTAGTTTGCCACTTTGGTTCTGAATTGTTGTTTATTGCGTTGAATCGGCTGGTTGTAGGCTGGGGACGGAGAGGCACAGACACGGCACCCGGTGAAGAGACAGGTCTGTCGTTAGCAGAGAACGAGGACAGTGTCGAAGACAGAATTGCTCTTCTGGAAATTGCCAGACACCAACTATAAGACTCAATACATTTTAAAACCCTCTTTTCTGCCATTATAAATGCTCCCAATATCGTCTCTCTTTTAAGTCTCCCAGCCATCTTCTTACTGGTTATACTTCCCCTCCCGGCAGTGCTAGCAAGGCCAGTTCTGTGTCTGGTCTATGACCCTTTCCCTGCTCTTCTTGAGTCTGTTGAGGACTTTTCCTACGGCGTTGGCTTTTCCTTTTTGTTGCCAGTTGAGTTTTCGAACCTTACTCTAGTACTTCATCTTGAACATGTCAAAGTGCAGGACTCGCACGCATACAGGAAGATCGAGGATGTCTGCATGATTCTCAGCTTTGCTGCCATTCGTCCTAGAAGCTGGAAAACGTTTCTTGGTTTAAATACTTCGGTTTTTATTTAGTGTTATAAAGAGCTTGCATTCATCAGGCTTCAACGTCACATCTGCCCGTCCTTTGGAAATTGTCTCCAGCCCTTACAAACTCTGACACATCAAGAAATGAAGAGCGCATCCCCACCGCTGCAGTTCCTGCCTTTACCAACAGCTGGAGGGTGGTTTTTTGGAGGGGGGGGGCACTTCCTGTCACAGCACATCCTGTCTGGACTGTTGACAAACCTGGGGAGCTGCTTGCCTGTGGTGGAACAGTGCGGGAGCCCTCATTGGAAATAATTTATCAAGCACTGTCCCTTCTGCTTGTGTCACTTCAAACCTGATGTAATTGGTCTCATAAAGCCTTCAGGCTCCAGGAAGCTGTCAACAGACATACAACCTGCAACTCAAGAGGCCTGCCCTGTGTCTCTGTTTAACTGCTGCAGGGAGCTGCCACTGCAGCACAGGCCTCAAGCTCCTTCACAGCGCATAGAGCCTTTATTCAGCACTATTAGCCTTTTGTTTTTGTTTTTAATCAGATTGATCAAGATGATCTCTAAGTGGCAGAGTCTGGATGCAAACTGCTGTGCTCCTACCCCAAACTCCAAACACTGCTGGAATCCCTTTATTGTAGGGAGCTGCCTGTAGGGTTGTCACACTACACATATCTCATTTTAATGACACACTTTTTTGAAAAAAATCACATTGTTCCTCCTTTTGTATTAACACTGTTGACGCTGCAGGCTGGTGACTTCATCAGATTGGGTTTCGCTGTGCTCGTCTGCTTCCCTCTCCATTGCGCCACAGTGTAATAGTGGAACTGCCCCCAGTCAAAGGTCCATCTTTCTCCTCATCAGGCTCTCAATGCAGATCTTTTGGTGATTTTGTCAGCCCTTGTGTCAAAACAGATTGAACAACAAAACCTCCTTTAGGATGGCATCCAGGCCAGTGGTGTGGCTCCGTCTCTCTGCTTGGGAATTCCAAACAGGAACGGAAGACTTTCCTTCAATTGAAAAACACTTAAGGGACAAATCAAGCATCTTCATCCTTCCAAGGAATCAGCTCTGTGCCTGGAGAGATCTCTAGACACCACTGTCTGTGTAGAAACAGGACCCACAAAATAGATATTGATAAATTGAGGAAAACATATTGATAACCTTCCAGTAGTAACAGAGCTTCTGTTCCCTGTGTTGTGAAGGCTGTGGATTCCATGTCATCAAGCATCAGTATGTGTCCTTCCCAGTAGCCCAATGGTTACATCACTCCAGTGACCCAGTGCCTTCTGTTTTTTCTGCCTGTCAGAAGATAATGCTTCTTATGGCCTCAGCAGTTCACAGTTGTGTATACGCCCCTATAGTGCATGCATTTATGCATGAAACCCGCTGAAACTTTAATAACTGTGTACCATTAATCTATGTGCCATTTTTAAAGGCAAAATTAAAATTTCATTTGTATTTTTCTCCCCCCCCCCTCTCCCACCTCCACCACCAAAGTTAAATATTTATCGCTATTGAATCACAGATCACAGAGCATTCTCTCCCGTTTGGCTTTGCTGCACATCTGCTCTCGCTTCCTGACCCCAGCTGGGGAGGGCCCGCAGGCCAGTCTGCTGGAATGGCTTGAGATGACAACGCGTAGACCGGTCGAGTTAATTCAGAAAGACTGAAAAAATTAGATCCTGCTGCAGGGGAATTTCAGACAAGGCTTCAGGGTCTCGGAGATCAGACTTTAGCTCTTTGGATCCATGTGTATTTGCTTAATCATACAAATTATCGCTAATGAGATGTATTTGAATGTGCGTCTCACTAAAAAGTGGCCGTTTTCCCCACAATGCTTTAGAGCCCATGGTATAAATAGTTAGCTGTGCATGATGCTATAATTCTGTGCGTAATGTTACATGACCTATCACTGCATTATCCCTTTAAGACAGACGTGTGGAGCTATTGTCGGGGCTTTGGACTCCAGACCGGAGGGACAAGAGCTCAGGTTCTCTGAGCAGTGCATTTCATTGGCATTGGAGGAGTTAAAAAAAGGGTCTGCAGGTCATCAATGAAAATAAGAATTTGTTGTCAGCTGACGTGCCTGGTAGAAGAAAAGAAAAGCATTGTTTTCCCTCTAAGTCTGTTCTGATTCAATCATGGAAAAAGAAAAGTTTGCAAACCTTTGCATTGTACATCACACACACACTCTTTACAGGTCCTATCACACTCAATTCAAGGAGCACAGCAAGAAGTAAAGACCATCTAGTTTGGGTTTCAAGAGCAGAGGGCACTTCTTCAAACAAAGAGCTGCAGTTGTCTGTAGCAATTTGACAAATGTGTTGTGCGTGAAACATCTCGAGGATCCTTCAGGATGCAGCCTGATGAGATTCTGGGATCAATAAGCTGCTAGCAAGCGGGCGAACAAGATGGGTTGAATTGCCTCTTCTTATTTGTTACCCTTCTTGTAATTGTCTGTTCTAAAAGATATAAAAGAAAACTGTTTTAAACTGTACTAATGTAACCTGTCATTCACGTGGCATCATGCAGATGGTGATTTTGAATTTTGTCAAAAGATATAGCTATACTATATATATATATTGCATATACTGTATTGCTTTTAAACTAGCTCTTCTGCTTAGATTTAAAAAAAAATGTGCGGCAGTCCAGCATCTCAGTTAATACTAAGGCCGCAGAGCCAAAAACGCCGCCTAGGTCGACTCTCTGTTTTAACCTCCTTGTTAGCATTTGGTTAACTACAGAGCTATGGTACTGTAAGCTCAGGGCTGAGGGTGACCCTTTGGGAACAGGCACGACTTGATAACAGCCACAAAGTCCTTGGCATGAAGAGAATCAGAACTCGGGTAACAGTCTGACAGTGAGTTCGGGCAGTTCAGAAAGGAGGAGGGAGCAGGGCTCCACTCTGGTAACTCGGAGAAGTTGTAGATTCGGGTCTCATCTGGACCCTTGTGCAAGATACACTTATAAAGAGCTCACTCAGACGGCTCCAGTGAACTGCCTATAAATGATCTATAAATGTTTGCAAATATTAGCTGCTTTGGAGAAGCGCCTGAGACGGCTAAAGTATTATATAATTATATAATATAATAAATGATAATAATAATATCGATTCCTTGAGATATGCGCAAGATCTAACAAAAGCTTTGACGTCGGGGGATGCGGTTGGAATTTGAGTTGCAATAAAGAAAAGAGGAATCTTTTTTTTGGGGGTGGTAAACGCTGATCGAACTGACGGTTTCGCGTCCTGTCATCCACACAGTCCCAGTCCTGAAACACTGTGACGGGGAGAAGCGGGGAAACCCGACTCGAGGAGCCGGCCAGCCCCGCCCTGCCGAGGTGCGCGCTGAATGGAGGCCTGCGCAGCCGGGGGGAGTGAGACAGGCGGAAAGAGAGAGAGCAAGAGAGAGAGAGAGAGCCACGGTGACTGAGTGAAAAATCATGTCAGCTCCACTGGGCTGTACACCACACACAGGGAAAGGGGGGAACGGCGGCACCAGGCATGGAGCGCAACTTGCCTTTTCTCCGCAGCAACTTTGCAACTGATGCGGCATCTCGTCGCCTCTCTGGGCTTTAAGGAGCGGCGTCAGGAGGTCGCCGCGTTACCCACACAAACGCACAACTTTTGAGGATTTTGCCGCTGGGATTGCGCTGACATCCCTGAACCAGAAAAAACAAACAAACAAACAAACAAACCCGAGGACTTCTGGATGGTGAACTAAGGGATTCGCTACACGGCTTGGATGTCGGGCTGCGGGTATGAACACGGCGCTGCCTTGGGTTGCAGTTAAGAAATACGGGAAGGGGAACGCGTTTTAAGGACAACCGCTAGCACGGGCGCGTTTTTACAAAGGCAAAGACACTCACATGTTAATGTATCGCTTTTGAATGAAAAAAGCACAGCCTTTAAGGGAAGAAAGGCAGGGGATTTACTGCTTTCTTTCCAAGAAACTGCTGTCCCCGGTTGAAGCACGAACGGATGCTCGCGTATGTAATCCAAGACGACGAAAGTTTTAGCAAGTTATGTGACAATGGGATGGATTTGAAGGGCAAATCGTAACGTTTTTTTTTTTTTAGTTTAATGACTTCGAGGACATGACAAACGCTTTTCATCAGTGCTTTTGACGGATTTGTACTGGGAAGCATGGAATTTAAGGTCGCATGTTTTTACATGTGTTTACTGCGTACTTCTGTTCTGAAAAAAAGACTCGATGAGAAGCCATTTGAATGAACAGGGGATCGATGTTGGCTTGAGATATCCATCAAGCATACTGGAACAGCGTATTTTAAAGACGTGTAGGCTACGCTTCCTCACACCTAATATATATATGTATTTTTCGCTGAGGAAAACCGAGCAATGAATGAATGAACGACAAAGGCAGTTTTTGGAGCCATTTCCCCCCGAATCTGAGCTATTTGGGTCCGATGCCACCCTCTAAATTTCGCACGCAAACGAGTGTGGTCAGGAATGTCCTACCTTTTCGATGTGCTCTGTTTTACACACATTTGGTAAAGGAAACTTCTTCGCGCGATTCATCAAGCTGGTGATAGATTATTTAAAAGAAAAGAAAGGAAAGATTCAGCGCACATCTCTCCCCCTTAGCCGTCGACGAGAACTGTATATAACGTTCCAAATGGAGTTGTCACTCTTGGTTTTAACCCTAATATCTTGGGTCTGTGTTTGGGCGGACGACAGCAAGGTGATTTCAGACAGATACGCAGTCTACTGGAACAGCACAAATCCCAGGTAAGGTAAAGAAAACCAATTACCCAGACAACCATAACACTGCTAAGATGAAGGTAGGCAAATCTACAGTACTCCACATGCAACCCCCAACACACACATTCCTTTCTTATTAGTGGAAAATTTGGGGGTGAACTGATGAACTATTCTCTACATTCACAACCTTGATACCTGCATATATGCACCTGTGCCTGCGATTCCATGCCATTTTGTTCTAAAAACTTTCTCACCGTATTAATCATTTTTTTCCCCGCAGCTGTGTGGAAACTTGTGTATTTGTTTGCTCATCTTTTCCAGGTACCGTCAAACGTTGCTGCAGGGGCAGCGGCGTAATTAATTTAGCCTCTGTGAACTGTGTCGTCTGGAAGTTTCGCGTAGTCAAACGACCCCGAGGTCTGGAACAGCACCTCCCTCGCATCTCATATCATCTAGGGGCGATTAGTCCCCGACCTGCGCGGTGTGGGAAGGAATGTCTTCGGTGTGAGACCATTTGTTACCAATTAAAGAGCAACTTATTTCGTCCTGTAGTCACAGCTCCCCGCCGACAGTCAAAGCGTTCGAGCCCCCGAGGCGTAATTGCGGTTTTGTCTATTTCAATGTACCGGAGACAGGACTTGTGAGTTACTCATTGCTAGCTTATGACAGCCAGCTCAGGTCTTTCAAACCTTGAGAACGTCGTCTTCGCTTGCCCTCTCTGCAATACAGGTGTTTTCACAGCAAACGCTTGCAGAAATTCTCGTACAACGGCCGTCTTCTCACAGTCAGAGAATTGAGACTACCAGGCTAGATCACAACCCCGTCTTCTCTCATGTGTGCCGCACAGAAGTACATCAGTTTTTTGAGGGGGGGTGTGGGTGGCGAGTCTTGCTGCTATGCGGTGTAACGCCGGCAATGTCAAGTGTACAGCGGCTACATTTTTTTACAGAAGAGGTGACACATAAGACGTGCGATTGCCTGCGAATAGTGTGACCCGTTCTCAGGCGCAAGCACAGTAGTTTCATTGTAAGAAAAACTTAAACGAGCGGAGCATATCTCATTCGCGTTGTACATTATGGAAGGGCCAAAACAAAGCAGAAGTTGGCTTGAAATACCTCAGTTTGTGAGTTTTCTTGGTTTCACGTATATTACTGTTATTTCCAAAGTTCATATGTCAAACGCTCCGATACCAAAATTTGTTGAGTAGAGAAACATCAGGGCGCTGTTCTGTATAATGGTACGGCATTTTCCTTTTCAGAAACAACCAAGATAATACGTTTTTTTTTTAAGTGGCAATCCTATTAGAATATACTTGTCTAGGCAAAAATAAATACAGTTAATGATTTAAAATTAGTTCTTAAGTAATCTACTGAACTCAAACTGTATTAACTATGTAGGACTTTTTTTCTGAATTTATTTTGAAAATATGTATACAAACCAACAACCGACCCAAAATAGTATCTTTTTTTTTTTACAGGTTACCAGATATGATATCCAAGATATTACAGGCTACGAGATATGATTTTCCATGACAAAACTGTTTACCAGCTATTTATGACTGGCAGAGCTTTATCAAGCTACATTTGCGTAAAATACTAGATATGCAGAGAGAGGTTATATGTCTGGCATTTTAGTTTTCTGCAGATTCTTGAATAATTTGTGTTTTGGCTCATGCTACACAGTTAAGATACCCACGTTTTGGTGCCCTGACTTTAAATACTATTTTCCCACGCCGGTATTTAGTTTTGAGATGCTGAGTTCATTTAGCCAGGAGTGATCATAACAATTACTCATAATTGTTCCATGGTGACATCATTTATTGAAATAGTTTCATCCTGTTTTGTTGAGAAAAAAAAACATTCTGTATCTTTTTATTGTAAACCCTACAGATATTTACAGCATTTCACAAAAATCCTTTCTGATTTTTGAAAAGAAAGTTTTAATAGCTCTTCAGTAGCTTGGCCATGGATTTTTCTTTCTAAATTAATTCTGTTTCCTTTCACCTCACTATATTGCTTGTTACATCGTGCCATTACCTGCTGAACGTACAGTAGTTTACAGATTTTGCAGTCTGTAACTGACTTTCATTTAACATAGGCTTTTGTGGACAAGAGTCATATTCTCCTGGAAAAAATGTTTTGTGTTTAAATGAGTGTGCCAAAAATGTGTCTAGAAGTTCAAGTTGTTTTCAGTTAAATAATAAAAAATGACAGAAGAGATGTTTGCTTAAAAGGCTCATTTCAAAGTATGAAAAAGGAGAAAAATAGACTTGCACTCTTAAGTCATAAATATTAGGGTTTTCTCTAGGTACTAAGGTTAAGATCTTGCAGAACTGCAAACACAGTAAGAGCTGATTTTTAAATACGAGCTGGTGTTGTGCATTTTGACCAGACATTTGCAAAACTTAATGGGGCTGGTGAGAATTTAACGTGCCAAATTTCCAAGCCCATACATAAAGAAAATACACTGATGCAGAACTCGAATGATTCAAAGTGAATTCATTTCTGTTGCTACTTTTCTGTAGATGGTATGGGAGAGAGAATCCCATCTGAAAGGCTTATGCTGCCTGTGTTTGAAGGAGAAACACAAAGTGCTTACTGTATAAGGTTCACATCACTAGTTAAGATGATAAAAACACAATTTTAGGCACAAGCCGTCCCGACATTGTTTCACAGTACCTAGATTATGTAGAGAAACTGCTTTCGATTAAATGTTCTAACTTGTCCTGCCTACCTTTTTTGCACATCTGCACTGTCCTAAAGACCTTAGCAACACCGTAGTTATTTCACTGGAGTGCACGATACATTTCGACTGTCTAATAGTTAAAATATTTCCGGATGCTCTGTTATTCACGAGGTTTTGAAACAGACTGCGAATTGCTATTAACAGTCTTCTTTTATTAGCAACATTTTTGTTGTTGTTCTAAATAACCACAAAAAAAAAATCCCCAAGTGAAGCTTTCAAACCACACAAATAATTCTTTGGATTTCATTTACAAATGCTTGTGGATTCTTTGCCTCTTTGTATTGTGCTTTAAAGATATTTCTCTTTTTTTGAAAAAAAAAAGTTCTCTATTGACAATTAAGAGTGAAGAGCTTTAGGAGTGAATGCAGCCCACAGTTGTAGCTCAATGAAGGAGCTGTAATGCACAGCATAGGAATGAGAAACTAGCAGCAAAGAAGAAAAGTATCATGGGCAGCTTACAGAGAGCTGAATGGAAGGAAGAGGCAAAGGCTCCAAGGCAGCAAGTTCTTTTTTTCCTTTTGGAAAAGGAGGCCTCCTTCTGGTTACATCTGTAAGGACAGAAATTCAGTGTTTTTAATTGTCCAGTTTTTCCTCGTGCCCCTCTGATCAGCAGGTGCAGCACAGTTGGACAGCAAAAGTGCTACAGCCTCTGAGCACTAGGCTTGCAGTCCTCAGTCTATCCCCTGCAAAGTATTGCCCAGGGATCGGGAAAGTCTTGTATTATCAAGAAAAGCGTAAGATTTGTTTTAAACCCAGCTGTTGATTTGATTTATACTGTAGGTAGCTATGCAAAGGACAAATCATTTTATTTAGTTGTTTTGTTGGCGCTTGCATGTTGCTTGTCAGGGAACTAAAACGAGTACACGAATGTCGTGTGATTGAAGGGACATCGCTTAGACAACATAATACCAACGCAATGAAGAATTCTTAGGTTTTTTATACGGCATGTTTTTTAAGTGTTTATGCTTGATGCTCCTGCTTTTAAAATAACCCAAGAAAAAAGTCCTGACTTTGGCTGTATGTGCTTGTATTTCAGTTTTCCATTCCGGGCAATGGTATTTGCACTGAAATAAGAATCACGCTTTTGTCCCAGGTCCCCTGCCCTGTCCATTTGCAAGGTTAATTAAGAGGTTAATAGGATGAGTATGGCCATGATGAATATTTCATATCTATTATGCATGAAATTTGCTTATTTAATTTCACAAGGCAAACTGTGTAAATGGAGTGTTTGTCCGCAATGCTTTTGCTTCAGATTAAAAATGTCTGCTTTTCCAAATCTGCTGAGGACTCGTTTTTTTGTTTTGGCTCCTAGATGTTGCTTTCAGAAAGTAATTGAAGCGAAGCAATTTACTATCCCGTATACCATGAATACCTAAATAATGTAATTAGTACAACTTTTAGACATTTCCATGTAGGTAGTAAAATTTGGAATTAATTTTTGTCGGTTTTTCGCAACGAAATGCATCGGTCTGTTTCTCGCGCAGGAGCTGTTGTTCTGCGATTGTAAAATAAAACCGCTGGATCCATTGGAATCAACCTGTGTGACCATATTTTAGGATGATTTGTTTCAGGGGGAGTCATTGTAACGGGTTGAGTATTTGGAGATCGAAAATTCGCTCTATGATGCAAAGCTATTGTCCCACGCTCTCATTTTGTTTAGGAAGGCAGTCCTGCCAGGATTTGTAGTGCAAGGTTTCTGCTAAGAAATGTTCTAGACTTGATAGGGCTCAGATCAGAAGAATGGCTGGAGAGGTCATTGAAAACCTGTCTGTGGTAATTGAAGGCAGATCTTTGGCAGTGCTGTTTGTTTGTGTTCACACTGTTGCAATCTTTTTTGTTGCTGCAACTGGAAGAGCTCCCAATGTCTTTCAGATGGAAAATGCTGTAGCTTCAGTGTTCCGTAAATTCAAAGTTTTTTTGAAATTGATATTTTATGTTAAGCAAGTATGACCAACTGGTTTTATTTTGAAAAGCTCGGGTTGCAAAAAAAGAATGCGCGGCCGATGTTTATTTCAACATTTGTAGCAAATGTTAACACCATTTTGGTGTCAGAAATATGAAGAACATGGTTACACTGGATGTTTGGATTGGCTTTGACAGATGGAAAATTGAGGATTCAACATAACCCCAAAAGGTATTTTCTTAGGATTATCTTGATAGTTATATTCTAACCGTTTTACAGTGAAAAATGTTTCTGTTCACGCTTGACTTGCAGCAAAACATAAGAAAGCATTATGCTGGGAAGCCATTAACGGGAAAAAAAACCAACATGCATTTCACAT